TATGGATTTCATTCTGCATTTGCGCGTGTCGTGAGGGAATAATCACCTTTTACAACGCGTTGAATAGAAGTGCTTTCTAAGAATCCTCCATAGGACGCTGTCTTGTCAAAAAACGGTCTATGTATGGAGTGCCACAAAACCGGCTTATTGCTTGTCTATTAGCCCATGTGCACGCTAAAAGACGGACGAGTTCTCACGGTGTCGTAGAGGTGTAGAAATTGCACTATTCGCACGGGAACGCACATGTTGCACGCAGGTAGCTCACTGTAGTCAGCTGTAAGCGATGGCACATGCATCCAGACAACTGGTCCATATTTAGACCCCTTTTAGACCCCTTCAATGTAACTATTGTCGTCAAATTCTCGTCCAACTTTTAATTTTACCACTTCTTTGAGGCCTTTTATTTATGTGAAAACTCCGATTTTCGCATTTTCTTCACCACTTTAGCACCATTTCAGACTACCTCTTCCATTATTCGTCTGAATTTACATCCATCACAATTATCGTGAACGCGTTTTTGGCAGTACTTCTGAGGAGAGGGTGCTTGCAGAAAAAGAGAGAGTGCTTTCAGAAAAAGAGAAGTACTGAAATTCTAGTAAATTAGGTGAATGAATTACGGGCGTTTCTTCTTCTTGAAATCAGCTTTGTTACCCACAACAACGATTGTGACCTATTTCATTTCTCATTACAGTTTTCCGTCTATCACGAATTGCCAAATGAACTTGAACGGGATACTCTTGGTTGCCTTTAAATTTGTGCAGTGCGAACGAGCATCTCTGCAATAAGTTTTTTCTGCAAATGTCTCAAAATCGATTAGTGACAAAGTTCAATCTTGCGAATGACCTTTGACGATATCGTCGACAATCCGTCGCTTCCATTTCCTAGATCTCAAAGGATCTACTTGCTGTCGGGAGGTCTGTGTAATTGCTACGTAGCACTTATTGGTCAGTTTAATCATTTTTCGCTGCATTCTTCGCCTGGAAGAATAACAAATGTCGATTGCGGAAAATGTAGGTTGGAAGGTGTGGTGTGATCGTCTGATGTGGCACACGTTTATCAACTATATCGAAGTCTTTTCCCAGTTTCTGTAGCCTATTGCAAAAAGAAAGAGGAATTGTATCATGTCAAGAATCGAGGACATCACCCTCAAAAAAAAAAACGTAATCGCTTGACCTGATGGGCCTCACCAGCGCGAAATTTGCCCCGAAAAATAGCGCAGTTTCACTGAGCCATTGATGACGTCGTATTTCAGCTTTTTTGTCTGTCAAAGGCTCTAATCGTGGATTGTAAATTCCGCTTATGGCCGGTTGCATGTCAGTGTAAGAGCTGCGTAACTTGCAGATGCCAATGACGTCTCCATTTATTCCTGTCGCGAATCAGAGTGGTCCAGTGGTTGGCAACTGCTCGGAGGAAACGAGGCGCAGCCTTCCTTCCGTTCAGAAGTTTTGTGAAGAAGCTTGACCATGTCTAGAGCCGTCCTGGTGTTCGTGTCGTCCGAAGGATTCAGTCTGCAGCTGGGCTGTTCCAGCGTTCATCACGATATCGCATAAGGTGTCGGGCCCACCTGAACTTCGATTTATCGGCGTAAGCGACGGCATCCTTGATCTTCGTCAGTGAACGATGCTCGGAACTTCGGATTTCCTTCTGTACTCGTTGAGGAGTATTGTCTTTCCCATAGCGCGTTAAGCGACGCTGACAGCATGCTCATCCTGCTTTCGACATCCTGTAGAGTCGAAGTCTCCGAGAACTATGACAAAGAAGGAAAGTTCGCTGTCGGAAGGCGTGCGCGTAGCCGTCGCGTCTTTGTCTTCTTCATCACTCTCTCGATTTCCTTATATGCTGCCCACGCGGTGCGTTCCCTTCTGCTCAGCTTCGGAGCCAGGTCATTCATCATGTTGACTCCTTGGATACACGTCGTTAGAGCATTCGGAGAAATTCGTTCTGTTCAGCGTAAAAATGGCATCAGGTACTGATCCGTCTTCATGAATATCTGTTTCGCTGAGTTTGGTCGTAACCCGATCCTTCCACAAGCATAGTCGAATTCGGCCAGCATTTGTTCCAGCTGCTCGATGTTGGGTGTTATGAGCACGATGTCATCTGCAAAGCGGAGGTGATTTAATAGCGGTCATCGACCTTCAATCCCAGGTCTTTCCACTGCGAATGACGGGTGGTGTTTTCGATAGCGGAGTGAAAAGATTGGGCGAGATGGTTTCGCACTGCCGAACCCCTCTCTTCCGTCGACATTGACTTCCTTGTAGATCTGCGAAATGCAGGTCGTGAGTTGTTATAGAGTTTACGGAGCATCCTTGTGTATTGAGTAGGAACACCCTGGTTGCTCACTGCTTCAATTAACTCCTGATACTTCAATGAGTCTTTGAGAAACCGACACGCATGCTTGCTCGCATGACTGTACTTCATATGGTGTTCTGCCATTATATTGAGGATGCTCATTTGAAAATATTATGGATCACAGATAGTAGGCCTACGATTCTCCTTCACTAAGGGTTCTCTCTAACTGAATAATCCCAGCCGGTCAGCGTCGAGTCTACGTAGGGCGTCCCCAGATGGCGGATAGGGGAGTAGATCGGCGACTAAAGCTCGCCAGTACTTGCCCAGAGGCGCGGGTGGATTTTGGGGTGGACTCCTTCACTCTGCAGTGCTGGCTGATATACCCTCTGTTTCTCGCAGGCGTATCCACCATATATGTAGAGGGTCTGCAAGTGCAGTTGGTATCCTGCCTATAAGCTAAAAGCTTGCATTCGAGTGATTGGAAAGTATCAAAGAGGCGATTCGGGGCCGCCTCCAAAAACAAAGTCCCTTGTCCACTTCGGGACCGCCCGGCTAGCACCCGTAGTCAACCTAGCCCCCACGTCAGAGCCTGGCAAGCTACACGTTATGTGTCCATATGCCAAAAACAGTGGGCCTCATTCCCCTGAATCTGAGGCAGTCGCCAGTACGGCAGCGTTGGGTGGGACCGCTCAGAAGAGGCTGCTAAAATCGCAGTGCAAATGGGCTGCCCAAAAGGAAAAGAAATAATATGGCGGTCTGTATTTTCGACGCACGGACGCTCCCGTCGAAATCGTGTATAGAAGACCTGGTGATACAAGCTAGGAAGATCAAGTACGACGTCATCGGATTGGACGAGACGAGAAGGCGTCGCCCGCCACACGCTGTATTTGGGACTGGAGAAGACTGTTCTTTGGAACATGCGACGGCAGAGGCGTCGACGGCGTAGGTGTTCTCGTCAACACGCACTTGGCCATGAACATCGATTCGTACGAAAGCTTGACAACGCAAATCGACGTTCCCGATTAAGAAGATGTGGGTTAACGCCAGCTGTAACAACCTTCATCATCTGCGCACAAGCATTGAGCTACGAAGAAGAAGAGCAGGAAGCATTCTGAATGGATCTTAGAGGCTCTACAGTGAAGACCATACTTCTTCAAGGTCATCATCGGTAATTTCAACGCCAAGATCGGCCCCAAAGAACGTCTGAAGAGATGCCCATCGGGACTCACGGAATGGAATGGAAAGAGCAGGGCGGAAGGCTGCTCGAGTTTATCATGTCGACCCACACCATCCATGGTAACTCACAGTTCCAGAAGCAGTCTCACTTGTGGTGGACATGGGAGTCACCTGGTGGACAGTTCCATCATGGAATAGACCACACCATCTTTGATCGGAGATTTTCCCTGACTGAAGTCGCTGTTTTCCAAAGTTCTCTACAGGATTGGACCGTCGTCTCCTCCGCGCTAGATTTTGTTTTTCGGTCAGTGGAGAAATAGCTATCAAGTTCAGGAAACAAAGCCCCACAATCTCCATTAACTGGGACCGCTTCGCTTCCCTTGCGAGTGAATGGAAAGATTCCGTTATCGGCAACATCGATGAAGAATACAACCGGCTCGTCGAACATCTTCACGATAGCGCTAGAAAAGCAAAGGGTCTACAAGTAGCCAAAAGACGACTCCTTCGAGGAGTGATACGCCAGCGATGGACGACTTCGCTGGTACGCCAGCGTGGAATGGCGTGAGCTGCAGGCAATCGTCAACAAACGCCCGAACATGCGAAGCTAAGCAAAAAAGCGATAAAGCAGGATCTAAAAGAGAGTAGAACAGCAGTTACTGACGAAGCCGCTGAGGCCGGAAAGAGCATTCGCAAAGCCTGATGGAGCTTCGTCAAGACCACGATGAATTCCCTTCGTTGTCCTGACGGAACAGTTACTGCATCTCGAAGGGCAGTAGGGAAGGTCACAACGACTTCTAACTCAGATCTCTTCGACAGCGACGTCTACCTGCCTGCCCACCATCTTAGGCAAGATGAATTTGTCGCTCCTTCGACTCTTCCTTCCGAAATTCAACAAGCCATCTCGTCGACCAGAAACTGTACGGCGCTCTGCTCCGATGGGATCAAACCAGAACATCTAAAGATCACCAGTGATCGTTAGAACTCTGGCTAGGCTCTTCCCGCGGTACCTGTCGGAATGCAAAGTGCCCACGTCATGGAAAACTAGTAAGACTGTATGGCTGTACAAGAAGGGAGATAGCGACGGTATTAGCAACTGTCGCCCTATCTGCCTGCTGTCTGTTGTCTACAAGCTTTTCACACGCGTCACTTTGAATAGGATTGGCAGAATATGGGATCAAGGACAGTCATGCGAGCAAGTACGGTTTCGGAGAAGGTTCAGTGCAATCGATCGAATCCACACTCTTACAAGACTCATTGAGATATCGCTAGGGTACAAAATGCCGTTATGTCCTACGTTCATCGATTTGAAGAAAGCCTTTGACACCGTCGAGACAGAAGCGGTAATCGAAGCCCTGGGCAATCAGGGTGTTCCTACTCAATATATAAGGATGCTTTGTGAGCTCTACGACAACTTCACGACCAGGATTTCACCATTCTACAAGGAAGTTCAACGTGAAAAGAGGTGTGCGGCAGGGCGATACCATTTCGCCCAAACTTTTCAGTGCCGCTCTCGAGAATATCATGCGTCATTTTAAATGGGAAGATGTGAATGTGAAGGTCGACGACCGCTACCACATCATCTCCGCTTTGCAGGTGACATCGTGCTCATAACACCGAACATCGAGCAGGCGCAACTAATGCTGGCCGAGTTTGACAATGCTTGTGGAAAGATCGGTATGAGACTAAACTTAACGATGATTATGTTCATAAAAAACGGGATGGTTCCTAATGCTCCTTTCACGCTGAACTGAATGAATGTCTCTGATGCTATAGCTACGTGTCACTAGGTCGGGAATTCAACATGATGAGCGACCTAGCTCCGGAGCTCAACAGGAGGAAATGGCCGCATGGGGAGCGCTCAAGAATATCGAGGGAGTAGTGAAAAAGACAAAAGACATCCGGCTCCGCGCACAACTTTTCGACACTGCTGTCCTTCCTGCTTTGACGTACGGCTCGGAAACTTGGACTCTACGAACGCAGCATGAGCATGTTGTCAGCGTTGCTCAACGCGCTTTGGGAACGAATTTTCCTATACACGCAAGTGCTGAAGTAAATTCGGAGTTCTGAGCGGCGTCATTGAACGAAGACCAGGGATGCCGTGATTACGCCATGAAATACATGATCAGGGGGCCCGGACACGTTATTCGATATGTGATGACTGTTGGACCAGGGCGGTTACTGACTGGATCCCTCCGGACATCAAACGAACCCTAGGACGGCCGCCAACGCGCTGGTCAGAATTCTTCATGAAAGCTCCGAGCGAGAGGAATGCCGAGCCTAGTGTCCCTGAAGCGAGGACGATTCACTGGATCACTCTGGCTCGTGACAGGGACGATTAGAGTCGTTACTGGCGCCAGCTCGAGGAAATCGATGATCAACAGGACGACAGGTGAGAAAGTCGGCAAATTGGCGGCAGGTCTACTATCGTCGGTATCTCCCTCCCTACACAGCAACTCTTGCTAGTTTTACACGACACTTTGCATTATGACGGGTACCGCGTGAAGGGCGTAGCCATATTTCTCACAACAACTGGTGGAAGGCTCTTCAGATTTTCTGGTTTAATCCTATCGGGACCACCCGCTGGCCTACCACCTCAACGCGGTGGAGTGTGAACGTGGGGCGTGTGGGCGTGTCCGCGTTACCACTCTTGTTTGGAAAAAAAACCGGGTTCTGTAGTTTTTTTACTATTTCATCATTTGCTCCAATGCAAAGTTCCGGTAATTTCCAGTTATGCGAGGCTTTATATTGACCGCTTGCCGCTTCGCGTTCGAAGCTGTGGTTAGGTAGTTGTCGATGAACTGGAGGGATGGCGGCCCCCTTGCTTGAGTCCCCCTTATCCGTTCGCCCGAGGTCGCGGTTGAATTCGTTCTTCACGCGTTAAGTTGCACACGGCAAGCCCCGGTACATTACGTCTAAATCACTGCGTTCTGGACTAAGGACAAGGACTTGCTCGGGGAATTATCTTCCTACCAAAAGGGAGGCAACCTGTTGCCCTGCCACATGCTTTCGTCTTTAACATCAGATGTCGGCTTGTATGGTCCGAAAGCTCTCGCCAGCATTTTTCTCCTGTTCGATGGTAACTTTGCTTGGAGCTTTCATTGTCCATTCAATTATATTTATAAAAAATATATATGTATATAAATCATCGGCACGTCCGCATGTCCACACGGCTAAGAGTAGGCCCCCACGTGCTAGAGCCTGGCAAGTTACACGTGGATTCCATGCCAAAAACAGTAACAGAAATGGGCCTCATTCCCCTGAACCTGAGGGAGCCCCCAATACGGCGGCGTTGGGTAGGACCGCTCGGGAGAGGCTGCTAAAATCTCAGGGCCAAAACAGGCTGCCCAAAAGGAGAAGGACTAAGATGGCNCAAAACTCTGGCTAGGCTCTTCACACGGTACCTGTCGGAATGCAAAGTGCCCACGTCGTGGAAAACTAGCAAGACTGTGTTGCTGTACAAGAAGGGAGATCCAGACGATATTGGCAATTATCGCCTAATCTGCTTGCTGTCCGTAATCTACAAGCTTTTCACTCGTGTCATCCTAAACAGGATTGGCAGAATATTGGATGAAGGACAGCCATGCGAGCAAGCAGGGTTTCGGAGAGGGTTCAGTACAATCGATCATATCCACACCCTAACAAGGCTCATTGAAGTATCGCGAGGATACAAAATGCCGCTATGTCTTACGTTTATCGACTTGAAGAAAGCCTTTGACACCGTTGAGACAGAAGCGGTAATTGAAGCCTTGGGCAACCAGGGTGTTCCTACTCAATATATAAGGATGCTTCGTGAGCTCTACGACAGCTTCACGACCAGGATTTCACCATTCTATAAGGAAGTCATTGTCAACGTGAAGAGAGGTGTTCGGCAAGGCGATACTATTTCGCCCAAACTTTTCAGTGCCGCCCTCGAGAACATCATGCGTCATTTGGAATGGGAAGATTTGGGAGTGAAGGTCGACGGCCGCTTCCTACATCACCTTCGCTTTGCAGACGACATCGTGCTTATAACATCGAACATCGAGCAGGCGAAACGAATGCTGGCCGAGTTTGATAGTGCTTGTGGAACGATCGGCTTGAGGCTGAACCTAACGAAGACGATGTTCATGAGAAACGAATTGGTACCTGATGCTCCTTTCATGTTAAACGGAACGAATATCTCCGGATGCTCCAGCTATGTGTATCTAGGTCGGGAAGTCAACATGATAAACGACCTAGCTCCAGAGCTGTGCAGAAGGAAACGCGCCGCGTGGGGAGCATTTAAGAATATCGAGGGAGTAGTGAAGAAGACAAAAATATCCGGCTCCGCGCTCACCTTTTCGACACTGCTGTCCTTCCTGCTTTGACGTACGCCTCGGAGACCTGGACTCTACGAAAGCAGGATGAGCCTGCTGTAAGCGTTATTCAACGCGCTTTGGAAAGGACGATGCTCAGAATTTCCCTATACACGCAAGTGCAGAAGGGAATCCGGAGTTCCGAGCTCCGTCGCCGAACGAAGATCAGGGATGCCGTTGATTACGCCAAGAAATCGAAGATCAGGTGGGCCGGACACGTTATGCGATATGGTGATGACCGTTGGACCAGGGCGGTTACTGACTGGATCCCTTGGGGCATCAAACGAACTCCAGGAAGGCCGCCAACGAGATGGTCAGACTTCTTCACGAAAGCTCTGAATGAAAGGAATGTTGAACCTCGTGTCCCTGAAGCGAGAACAATTCACTGGACCACTCTGGCTCGTGACAGGGACGAATGGAGACGTTACTGGCGCCCGCTCGAGGAAATCGACGATCAACGGGAGTACAGGTGATACAGGTGAATCCTATCGGGACCGAGCGCCGTACAATTCTTCATCGACGCGAATGCATGTCGACTTTTGGAGGGGAGAACTAAAGGGACGACATATTCTATTATATTTGCCTAAATGGTAGACTGACAGACAGACGTAGCTGTCGAGGAGAACCGTGTAGAACTCGTGGATGACATTCCTCATTACCCTTCGAGATGCAGTAACAGTTCCGCAAGGACGACGAAGGGAAGTCATCGTGGTCTTGAATTGGCGAAGCTTGCGAATGAGCTTTCCAGCCTCGGCGGCTTAGTCCAAAACTGCTGTTCTACTCTCTCTCTCAGATCTTCCATTATCGCTTCTCTGCACAGCTTTGACGCTTCAAATTGCGAAGTCTATTGACAATTGCCTGTAGCTCGCTCCATTCCATTGCGGCGTATCAGCTCCAGAGTTCCCGAAGAGAGACGTCTTCTAACTACTTAAAGGCGTCCTGCTTCCGGTGAACGTGGTGAAGATGTTCAACGAGCTGGTTATATTCCTCATCGATGTTGTCGATAACGAATCTTCCCATTCACTCGCAAGGGAAAAGCGATGACGGTCTTAGATCTTCGTTTCCTGCACTTCGCAGCTGTCTCTCATACTAAAAAATATAATCTAACGCTGAAGAGACGACGATCCGGTCTTGTGTAGAAGTTTGAACAGCGACGTCAGCTATACAAAAATTTCGATTAAAAATGATGTGATCTATTCAATTGTGGAACAGTTGCCATGTAATCCCATGTTTATGGCTAATGATAGGGAAGAAGAGCAAGAAGAAGGACAAGAAGAAGAACAAGAAGAACAAGAAGCGCAAGAAGTACAAGAAGGCAAGAGATCAAGAAGAACAAAAAGAAGAGGATGATGATGAAGAAAAAGAAGAAGAAGAACAACAACAACAAGATGAACAAGAAAAAGAAGAACAAGAAGACACACACCGACACACCGTTACCGTGTTGAACACCTAAGACCCTTTTTTTTGAAAGAGGAGCGACAAATCAGCTGAGCATTTCTACTTCATCACGAGAAGGAAAAGAATTCGGCTCAAGCAGGGCAATCCGTCTAAATCTCGTCAACTAGGCTAATTTCTTAAATGAAATTCTATTGTGGAATAAACATAGCCTTCCTCAATTAAGCACCTCCGAACCCTGTATACACACAAGCGATGGTCATATGAACAGTGGTATTCGTTAGCTCCGCCCTCTCTGTGGCCTTGATTGTATGGCGACGACGGGCGGAGTGGTGCGGAGGGCGGTCCTCGGTCATCCTCACTCTCCCGTGCTCTCTCACACGCCCTCTATTCTCCTCTACCTATTACGCGAACCCCCAGCCGACAATACAGGAGTCGCGTCTTTGTTGGTCAGGTTCTGATGCTGTCTGGGCGGCGATTGACGCCACTTATTCGACCTCATCTGCTGGTTTTCTCATGTCCTCTTAGCTTCTTTCGTTTTCCAAAGAGCATTACAAATACCCACTAAGACCCCATGAGAGACGTTATTATTTGGCAACTCTTCCTGATCGTTGGATCTATAATTTTCTGACACCTGTCATCTGCGATCCACTCAACATTACCCTATCAGACCATTGTGGTCCTTATCAAAATGTATTCCTTTCAGAAGAACTTAAACCAGATTCGACGTGTTCTAATTGGCTTTTTTCATACCAGTGTCGGAGTACTGCCATTACAGTACAGTAGGGATCACAATTTGAATCATCCATCTCACTTCATATTACTCACTTCATTCCGCAGTGCTCACTTTACTCCATTAGCCTACCCACAAAGTGACTGCTTTTTATATAAGAAGAATAAGTTTTCCATATCACTACCCTTATCATAATCACAAAGTAACTCGGACGGACAGACCGACATACCGACATACCGACATACCGACATACAGACAAACCGACATACCGACATACCGACAAACCGACAAACCAAGTTACTGCTTTATAAATTTTTTCATATTCATTATTCGTTCGTTCTGCTCATACTGCGCATGAATTCTCGTGGAAAAACCATGGAAAGGGAAAATGTTGAGATTCTTTTCCAAGATTCGGACTATTTACTCCGTTGTGCCCTCGTTCATGTAAATGTTATTCTCTAGCATTAATTTTTGAAGTAGTGCGAATGAATGTTATAGCTAATCAGTAAAACTGCATGTAGCTTCCGCACACACCTCATCAAACGTTCGTGCATTTTTCAAGAAAGACTCAGCTGTAATAGTACTCTACTGTTAGTATAAAAAGCGCCAGTCGGGTTCATTTGATGACTTATGATTCATTCACGGTTCTGTGATCCTAAAGTGAAAGTACTCCATGTGGGTCTTACTTTTTAGAAGTTATAAGGCCAGCCTCGATCCCTTCTCCAGTATTTTTACGTCTCATCCTCGGATGAGATTTCTATATATATTCTTTCTTTTTGTCAAGGAAACACCATCGTTAAGGGTGGGGCAGGTAGTTGCAAGTGACGCACTATGACACACGATTGATTACGGGTACGAATCCCGGAATGAATGAAAAGCTTTATCCTTTCTCTTTCTAGACTCCTTGCTTTTTCTTTCTTTTCACATCAACTTTGTTTTTTAGCACTGCCCAGCACAGTGCATGTACCTCTCGTATCTGCAAGTCAAACGAAATCCTCAATCCGAAACGAACCCTGTGTGATGCTCACATGACGGCATTCGGCTTTGTTAGTAGTGTTCCACTGCTGTGTGAGCATTTTTGATAGTCCGAGACATTTTTTAATCTACTTTTCTTCCAATCAATTTTGGAATGTGTGTACACCTCACTATATGTGTATATAACATATTACATGCTCTCTATATCTACACTGGAACGGATTGGATTAAACCATTTTCAGCTTCTTGGAATATTATTCTGTACTGCATTCCACCTGGGCGATTTTTAGTGGTTGGTTGCACTGAAAAAGTAAATCGTAACACCATCACATTTAAGGTGGCGACATTTTAGCTTTGAAAGGGAATTTGCGAGAAAGGTAAGAAACGCGGTTGGAGATGTTATTTGCAGGTGTAAACATCAAGCAACCGGAGTTTCCCACTTATTGGTCAAGTAAATTATTATATCGAAATTCTTAAAGTCTTCAGGCATTGACCAATCCCTTCTGAGGAAGTGCCCCCCACCTCCAGCTTCCATTCGGAATTGTAATAGTAATGAATAGAGGCTATGAATGCGTATGTGGTCAATGAGTTGCGGTGGCTAGCCGATTCACAAGTCAATGTTTTATTTCTCCCAGACTAGTCTAGAACCAGTCAATCGACCCTGGAGGGATGGAAGGCCTGGTTGACCTGGGCGCATATTGATCCGGGATGTGAACCTGTGACCATGAGTGTGTGATAGGCTCTGCTCTCTTGTCCCTGACCAGCATGTCGCGCTCGTTGCACTCAATCGCGCGCTGTGAAATGAAATGTTTGAATTCGAATTCAAAATCATTCAAATTCTTCAAGTTTCGAGTTGACATGGATGTTTTTGTTTCATTCCTCCCATTTTTGGCTATATGCCACTGCGCTGCTCTTAGTCATTCCCTTTTCGCTTCTCGTTACGTTGCATTGACAGAGCCTATTTTCTTTTCTTTTCTTTTCTTTGTTCCGTTTGCATTTCTTAATTGTTTCAATTTTTTTCTTCTTTCCCCCTTCTCTTGCAAGCTGAGTTAGGCTTCTCGGTCCGCTGCTTCGTTCAGTTTACACTTTCCCTCCCCACACTGCTTCAATACGGGCATTCGGCTCTTACAGTAATCCGAAACGTGTTATTACGCAAAATTTCACCCGTCACATATACGACGCGTGGAAAAGGGCCTTTGGGCAAGGACACGGGGTTATGAGGTGGGCAAGCCAGGGGGTTACTGTAAGAGCCGAGCGCCCGTACTGAATTTTCCTTCCTGTAATGCTCCGTGCTGAATCTGCGCCCAGCCTTCTGTTCGTTTACTGTCTTATGCCGGTGTCGGCAAGTCGGTTCCACGAGGGAGGTTGGCATACCCGTGACTTTGTCCAGTGACTCCTTTTTAGATGAGGCACCATGGCCAACAGGTGCGGGTACTGGCTATCTGAATTCTTCTACTTCAAGGCTGTCAGTTCAGCTATTGTAGCGTGTGTGGCCCCCTTTTCGTGGAAGAGTTCTTTTCCACCTCTCCCTTACCACAGATGCGGTATTTCAGCGGATTGTTATTGCTGGCTCAACTCAGCTCGTTTTATATTGGTCTTGGTTGGACTCTTCTGTAGTTGTATAGCTGTCCTCAGTTCCCTCTATTGGCGTACTCAGTTGAGTGTATAAATAAATAAAAATATATGGCAGTCGCCGCGGAACAACTGCCGCTGGCCGTGGGACTTTGGGGAAAAGTTCCGCCACCCTGCGTGATAATGCGCCGTATACCCTTCACCACCTCCTCTCTGTTGCTATTACTTTTGTCGTTTCTGTTCTTTTTTATGGTATCTTACTTATGTCTGTCGTGGTGGTATCAGTTTTCCTAGGCTTATCTTGACACTCTAAGCCAAAAAACCGATTTAATCGACAAAAAAATTCCAGCTGACCAGGTTACAGCGTTATTTATTGATTACGGAGGAAGTTTTTCTAGATTCTTTTAATTCTAGATTCACTTACTCTTCTCTATTTCTTTTTCGTTTCTTTCAATTTTTAGGATTTGCAAGATGATAACTTTCGATTTTTTCTGTTATATTTGTCAATTAAACTGGTCTAATTCGGTCACTTCATACGTTTCCTCTACCTCAATTATTTACTTTTCGGAGGCGACTTCCTCATGTCTCCAGCTTTTTAGTTGCTTGAATTCAGAGGTCTTTCCTTTTCGTAGCAACGTGATTCACATAAGTTCCTATTAGTTTTCCATATCGCCTACTCAAGCATTACTGATAACAACAGTAGCCCTGATGATCGACCGCCGACATTGAAGTCCACCAATTGTCGGTAGTACCGAATCCAATCGCAGCACTTTATCCTACCACATAATGATCGCTCTTTTCCTTTCGTCTACATATATTTCCACTGAGCGCACTCATAGCAACTGCGTATTTGCATATACCCTTCGTTAAAACGCACTACTCCGCATCAAGATAGTACGCAGGGGGTTTCTACGGACCGGTTTGTCTCATAAAGGAAAGTGGTCCTGTAACGATTCCTTGCAAACGGTCCTGACGCAGTGTGTTTCTACGGGGAGGCGGTCGTTAGGCGCGATCCCTCCCATCGCGCCGCCCATTCTACACGGTTTGCGAGCCTGACAACTCGTCCAGGTGATGGCGCAATCCATTGTTCATCCAGCCCAATCCATGAGCTGCTACTATTAGACGCCTCGTTGTCTCTTGTATTCTACCTATTGGCGTGGCGACATCAATCAGGGTTCTATCAGCTGAATGGGCAGTGGGTTGCTCGATCAAGTGGACGAGTTTGACAGTTCGCAAACCGCGTCAAATGGGCGGCGCGTTGGGAAGGATCACGCCAAACGATGTGCATCCGTTTCAACGCAGATATATGCGCCGAAAGACAGGTACTATGAATGCGCCCACGATGTTCTCCGTAGTAACAGTCTGGAACAATTAACTTTCAGAAGCGTTCCTCGACTGCCATGCAGTTGTGCCGCTGATATTGTAATAATGAGCCTTCGAACGATCACTTTTGCTAGAGTTATTCAATCGTTATTATTGCTACACTATACTTGCCTGGCACAGCTTGTCCGAGGCCGGCCGCCATCGTTTCGCGATGAGGACTATCCAGCATCGATTCTTCTGAACGAAGGGCAGCCGCTAATCCTAAACTGCCGATCTGATCGCTCCGAACGAGTTCAGTGGCTGAAGGATGGATTTCCAGAAAGAGTTCTTTCTACCGTGCTACAGATCGATACTACATCACGGAATGATTCCGGTGTGTACAGGTGTGTGGCGTCGAATTCCGTCGCCTCTGTGCTGTCGCCGCCGACCAAGGTCACTGTGCAGTGTAAGTACGAATTACTAATTACTGTGGTAACAATAGTTTCGCAAAAAATACTAAATTTTGACATTCTTACCAGAATTTATTTTCCTTTCGGTAGCTAGCTTTATGTTGCTTTTGCTTCCCGATTCATTTTTCAGCCATTTTCGTTTCTGCGTTCATGCTCATCGACTTAGTAAGTTGAAAGCATATCCATCCCAGTTCACCTTTCCAAGCTCTCCCTAGTCGACGTAATGTTTACGAATGATTTGCCTATCGAGTTCGGGTTTCAAGTTGAAGGAAGGAGAATTGGAATTGGTAGAGGTCATGCAGTGAGCTTTATGCATTGAGAAACTGCGCAGCAAACGCTGGTGATTTTCCGAGATTCCGGAGGAGAACGTACAGCAAAAAACAATGAACTTTAAGCATTGTAAGCTCCATGAAAAGTCATATCACTTTCGATAAAAGAGTCTCTTCGAGAGTGGTAAATGTTCTAAACTATTTTACCTATACTCCACTTTAACTCCCATTACCTAGTACTGTTATCTGACCAAGCTCGGAAAACATCTTCATTATAACATTTCTTTCCCATGAATCATTCCCATGGTCGAAGGTTTCTCGAATAACTTCAATGTGGTTTTGTTGACATGTTTTGATAAAATAGAATCGTTCGGTTTGAAGAAAGTCAGTCAAGTAAACGAGAATGAAAAAAGTTCATCAAGGATAAAGCTAATTTTACGGGAGGTTTTCAGATTTCGATGGATTTGAAAGTTCTGGTTTGTCCGAGCAGGTGGTTTATGCTGTAGTAGGAGGGCACTTCGTAATCAAAAGGCCTTCACTTATTGCCAGTAGCGAATCATTGCGAGATATTGCTTACTGGTGGTACAACGGTGACACTCAGGTTAGTAGCAACCAGCGATTGTTGATTGTGGTACTTTTTTCAATACGTTTTTTGTTGTCCTTTCATCACAGCTGACGATCAATCATAGTAGCCGATCGCTTGCGCCTGTTGCTGCTGTCCCATTGACCTCGCTCGTATTGACTGAATTATTCGAATTCTGTGTTCACGCGCTCGCGAGCAATCCCAACAAGTGGGGTTGAGCACTGGGGAAGAAATCTGGTTGAAGCCAACCTAACACAGAGGGAATTGCTAGACATACATACAGATCCAGTGTATGCTTATTTAGGGCTCAATATATACAACTGCCATTGGATAGTGAGTCTTTCCGCATTGGTACAAGGTAATCTCGAAGGCGGCGCCAAAACTGATTTAAACTTTTGTGAAGCAGCTTGAAAAGGTACTTCTGATGATTATTCAGGAGATGCCGTCTCATGTAGAAAAAAAGCAAGTTTCAGCATTTTTGTATCGGTTTTTTCAAATGCGCGGCAAGCCAGCCACTGCTACGAACCATCTGTCATTACCATTTAGACGTACCGCAAAACAAGTTCCTTAAGATTATCGCATTTTGCGGTTATAAGATTTAGCAACAATGGTATAAGCGAGCTTTATGCCATTACTGCTGAAGTTTGGTGATGGAATTGTTTGTTCACCCTCGGCAAACGCAGGCCGGCTATGTATTATGTTGATGATAGCCGTCCACCCTTGTGCAAACAGTAGAGACGAGAGAAGACGCTCTGGACTCTTCACCTATCTTGTCCTGCACCATTTCCCAAAAGCAGGCATTTATACACCTTGCACTAGAAACATTGTATTAGTGACATAGCTGAGGGGCACATATTAGAATATGGGCGGATCTTGTAAGTTGATTGGGGCGATGACTGTTTTTTCAGGTCTACTCGAATGGTTCATACTACGTAACTTCCAGAGGAGACCTGGTTGTAGTGGATGCGAGTTGGTCATCATTTGGAAATTACAAGGTCAGTGAATCACAGCATGGTAGCATCATTTAGGAGCTTGTCTCTGAGTAATGTCTTTTGGATTTTGTCTGTAAATGATTCATTATCAAGATTCTTAAAAACAAATACATATCTATTGCAAGTTCAAGTTCTGGGAAGCTCACTAGAAAATTTAAACGAGAAGTAAACAATTGTAAAGTTCTTAAAATGTTTATTGGTAAGTAATTCAAATTTCATGTTAAAGGCCTATCTGAATTGCGAGGCGATCTAAGCGAGCTATTGGAGCTGGATATTTGATTGATGGAATTCTGCTCTTTTATACACTTAGCCATTTCTGACTCCCTTTCTGTCCGCTACGGTCTCTGTTTTCCTTGAATTTTAACATCTATCTAGGTGATAGCCTCCATCGATGGACTTGGTGAGGCAGTTTCTGATATTTTCACGGTTATTCAGCAAGAAAGTGCTATGTGAGTTCATTATTGAAGAGCTCATTTTAGTCCACATTATTTTCTGTATTTTTTTATTCAGGGAACCTCTGGGAACCTTATTTATCGTTTATCTTTCCGAGGACAAAACAGTCTACTTCTCTGAGTCTTCGCAAAATCCTTTGGAGTCATTCGATTGCGTAGCATCCATAAAGTGCGTTTCTGGGCGTTTGAAGAGTACTATTACGCTTTTTTCATTATTTCCTGATCAGGGCAGAGTAGGTATTTTCAAGTATTTGTAATTGGGAAGTGATCACTAAGCGTCCTTATTCATCTTCTGCTATAATCCCGAGTGTTGACAAACATTACTACTTCGCACTGTTCCTGGGATGATTTGAGGCGTTTTGTGCGAGTTATCCCGTTTTTGTTTTCTATAGATGTATATTTGTAGTGTCATAGTAGGACCTCAAGGCCTGAAAAACCTCAAAAGTTTCATACTTTCTATTTTCCCCATATTTGCAACATTGCACGAAAATCTTCCTTGAAAGCGAACGATTATCTTACCAGGGAGGGGTAGTCTACTTATCTTGGAGCTTTGAATTCAGTCCCAGATAAATCGATAGAGTTCTGAATGCTGTTTACGAAAATGGAAATTAAAACTGCAAAATGGTTCTCCTTAAAAAGTTATGGGGGCCCGAATTTTGCTCGACAGTAGTATCAATTGGAAATGCGAACTCGTCGCTTATATACCAAACGCCGGGTCCGGGAACTTCTCCCCTAACACGGCGTCGCACACGCCGCACCCGCCGCCTATCGCAGGATTGCGATGGAAGATTGGAGCGCGCAATTCGTGA